CGTGTGAGTTGCACTTAAACCCAGGGAAACCCAGGAAAAGGTGATAAAGAGACATACTGAAAAGCAGAAAGAGAGAGAGAGAGAGAAAGAGAGAAAGAGAGCGTAGAGCAATTGAGGCATAAAAAGTCTTAAAGCTTATTTTGGTTGCAGTAAAAACAAAGTGGAAAACAAAGTAATGAGGCCATAATTACGAGTTAGAAATTACCAGGGGCATGTTTTTCTTTTACTTAACCAACCTAGTGCATAGTGCACTAGTGCACATAGTGCAGCATAAAACTCAGTAAAGATTTCCCTTCTCCTCTAAGATTTCCCTTTCCCTCTAAACATCCACGCGACAATCAAAGCAGCAGCTAATTAAGGCAATTCCGCTACCCGTTTAGGTGCCATCCATTAAGCTGCCAGACATCTTGTAATTTGATGGCCTTCTAGTTGATTGTTAAATTTATGAACTGCTCCCATTCAAAGGTAATTGCCAGTTAAACGGATAGCACCAGATCCCTTGCAATAACGAATAAAACACGTTTCATTGAATGATTTTCCAAAAGCTTTGCCGGACTTGGTGCAAAGGATATTTACGCCCTTCGCTCACGGCACTTACTTTTACGCACCTTCAATTTATTTTGATTTACCAGTAATGTTTCATGCCTGAAAATATCCACAATATTACAATACACGAGTATATATGTAGGTATCTCGAACCGTATTACCAGAAAGCGTTGGACCGCAGAATTCACCGGCCTCGTGGCCAGCACCAATCAAAAGAGCAGGAAGACCCCACGGACCCAGACCCAGAGCAGGACGCAGACCGAAAAGAGATTACTTTCGGGCGCTCCGCCACCGGACACAATGGGCTTGTCACTTGGCTCTCTTAGTGGATTGTGCAGGGGTACGCGTAAAACATTAAGGTATACGCGTGCTATACTTATAAGGGATTAAAATATATCAAAGGTTTTGCATCTTACCTTTATCTGATGTTCAGAAATACAAATTTAATTAATTTCATTTAAGGCAAATTTAATTTGTTTAACAAATTAAGAACGTTTGTAGAGCTTAAAAAGCTTGTGTCCGCATCTAAAAAATGTAGAATAATTCTTTGGAATTATCTGAAATTTTTTTGAATTTTAATAATTACTTTTTCAGTCTTTTTTAAATTTAAATTCTTTTAGATCGGATATATTTCAGAGATAGAGCAGGGAAATATAAGTTTCTTCCTTTGCCAAAAATAAAGAAAATTATCTTTGAGAGTTTCCTTTGCTTCACATTTGTTCCTCTTATTTTAACAGCTACAATTAGCTACCAAAAGAAATCTACCAAATACTGGGTATGCCCATAGTCCCCAGTAAATTTGGTACTTTATTTTCTATCTTTTAATTTTGCTTCAGTGTGCTTTTGCGTGCGTTGGCACTTTTAATGACAAATTTAATTAAAAATCAGCTATATAAATGTTGTGATAACCTGCACTTGTGAAGTAACGATCTTTAGCAGAGGGGCTCCCATTGATGGGCAGACAATTTGTTCGATGTTCTCCTCAATCATCGAATTCATGCCCTATAGCCAGTCGAACTCTCTCTACTGCCCTAACTGGTGCTAATGTTTTGCTATCAATTTTTGTGATGTCCATAAATTCTACGAAAAAACAAACATAGAGTACTCAACAAAGTGGCTATCATTAAACTCGGGAGAGTAAATCACACTTTTCATTTGTGTGTTTTTGCATTCCCGAAAGTATAAATTAAATTTTACGCTAAAGAGCAAAGCGAAAACGAGAATGAGAGAGCACCAGCGAAGGAGAAACAAATCAATTTTCCGCCCCCTGGGGAGGAGTCTTACCTGAACTTTGAGTGAAATTCCATTGAAGATGGCGCTAAACTGATAAACTTATGAGCCGAGCCTTCGCCTTTGCCTTCCTCCAACCTGCAGGCCAGGAATATTATTTTGTGTGTGCCTTGCAGCCTGGATTGGGTGGCGGTCTGGTTAAAGGTGATACCTAAGGTATCTTTGCCGCAAGGACAAATGATTACGAGCGCTAGATAGCAGCAGGCACACACACACACACACACACACACACACACACAAAATGGCGGCAATGCCTTAGGGTGCCTTCTGACACCTCGACAAGTGCTGGCAGAATCGGAAGAGCTTGGGCGAGTATACATTTTGGGTTTGAAATCAGATTGACAGGCGGCAGGAGTGGCAGAGAGAGCAGAAGTGCTAAAGAGAACAACTGATTGTTACTCAGCATGCTTTGGATATATAATGCAATTGAATAATTCGATAACCATTCAAGTTTTGTCTTCTAAATGCTCCCTAAATTGTCTTAAAATTTAATGGATTTTTATACACTTCCATGCTTAACTCCCAGCTACAGATACCCCCAGGTATCCCTTTTCTATCATCTTCTGCAGGGTGTCAAGTGTGTCAACGCTCTTGAATTTCAAATAAGCCCAACCACAAGTTGTGCAATTTTGGCGTAAAAAGTTGTTTGTCGGTGTTAAAGTAAGCTCCCAATTAATTGAATCAAATGCCAAAACTTAGCTTATCCACTAACCAGGCTAAAGGCACACTTGCACACAGTCCAAATGGCGTGTGAAAAACTTGTCAAAATGTCGCCACGGACGTGATGTGCGATACAGCAGGATAAATGCTGATAGTATGAGACGAAAGATTAAATAAACGGCAAGGGTTAAGGAAACTTTTTGGGCGGAGAATGTTCAGAGTGCAAATGTCACATTGGGGGGAAAGACTTGTTAAGAGGGAAGAAGGAAATGTCACAAGGTTGACTTAATGCAAGTGCAAGTGTCACCTGTTTTGACAATGCCAATCACAGCAGAATTAACCTTAGTAGATACACACATACATATGTATGTATGAGCCTGTGTATAAATATAATGAATATACATACTATGGGGAATTTGAACACTTTATCTGGCCAAAGCTCATTTTTCAGTAGACGATACAATTTTTGTTTTAACTTAAATAGTATGTATGTACATAATAATAACACATGACTTTAATGTTACGTTCACAAAAAATTAAGAGTGCACACCAAGAATAAGAAACAAGCTATTAGAGTCAGCATTTTAATATGAAAAAGCGAAATTTTCGGCCCCAGAATTTTTTTATCAAGTAAAAATTGGTAATTTGATTAAGCATTAAAGAATTCAAAGCATTCAACTTAATGAATATTGTAGAGTATTCAATTCTTGATCAAATGTAAGTCATCTTTTCGGCGTCTTCACAAATATTTAAATTTTATATGCAAAAGAAGATGCAAACTTGCATTGCATTTAAGCGGTAATACTTGTCACTCGTTTTGATATAGTAATGATAATGATAAGGGATCGCTGAAGACCTTTTTTTTAAACAATTTGAAAGAAAATATGCAGATTGTATAAATACGTGTACAATCGTACCATTATAATACAGTTGAGACCCTTGTAGTATCTCTGCACAGACGTGCTGTGCTCTTACGTCCAAACTTTATACAACTCAAAGAAAACAACGTACTAGAAGTATAAAATATAAAAATCCGATTATCTTCAAGTTTAATCCGTGCAAATCTTTTTTTAAATAATATAGCATTGTTTAACATGTTCCCATAATTTTTTGTTTGATACAAGCTAAAAATAAAATAAAAGTGCGATTTAAACTGAAGAAAAGGCGTTCCCAAGCCCATTTTTTTAATACCTTTCCCTCACTAATATGAACTTATATCAAAAAAGCAAATCAAAAAGTATTCCTATTAGTTTTTGACTGAAATATCGGTCGAATTCCCCGTCGTATGCGTTATGTGATTGTTTTGCTTTTAAATGTCGCAGCATCTAATGTGTATCTGTGAGTCTCTGTGTGTTTGCGGCATTTGCAATTTGATTAGTACAAAGGGCACGGTGAGCATCAGCAGAGAACTGAATTTATTCGAGTTTTAGCCCTGCCCACACCTCTTGGTGCTCGACTATGGCTTTATGGCTTAATACGCGTCAGAATTGTTGCCCTTTTGTTGAATTCTCTAACAAAATGATATGATAATTTTCTACGAGTTCAAACATCCTATAACTATCATTAATTATATATTAAAATGTATATGACTTATCTAGAGTGCGTACCACCATCGGATAGTTTTATTTTACTTTACTTTTATTTCACGCTTTTTATAGCGTCGATTAGTTGCTTGGGTAAAATTTTTTGTTGGTCTGCCCGCCCAGACGGCATTTGAAAATAATGAATGGCAGAGAGCAGTTTCTGAATTGTTCTTCTGTTTTTTTTTTCTTTTTTCTTGTGTTTGATTAATTTTATAGCTAAAAGTTTTCATCTCCCCGCCATCCCCGTCGTCTGGGCCATCATAATTATAATGTAATATTTATGCGGCTGCCCGACAACACCGACACTTGAGCATGATGGATGATGGCCTGCCTCAAACATATTGTCAAGGTCCGTTTCCGTCTCGGGGCCATTGTTTCAATTCTTATCTTTAGTTGTGGTCCTGTCTAATTAATGAGCCTCTCCAGTAGGCGCGTTTCCATGCCCAAAGTCGAGTCCCACCTCTGTTCAGGGAAAATTACAAGGCACTTTAGCTTGTCTCTATGGGAAAGCTTCCTTTGTTCATTTGGCTATGTGGAATGTGCTCAACGTACAAGTTAAATTACACCTGGGAGCATGGCCCAGGCTTCCTCTAAAATAGAATGTTTCATGTCACATTAGAGCTAATTTGGAATACAGTCAGGCAACTGCTTAACAACAAAAGTTAAGTGTCTATTATTTCCAGAAAATGTGTGGCTAGGATGTCCTTGCTGTGGTTTTTATTTAAATTATATTTGTTTTGGGGATCCGGTAATAACATTTTCATTTTTTATTTTTTTATTTAAAATCTATCAAAGTAGCTTCGATTCGTCCGTAACAACTGCCCTTGCTGTTAAGTTGACATACAAAATTATTTAAAAATTCTTTTTATTCGGAAATCTTAGACCATAAAATTTATAATTTTCGATCTAATTATGCTGCAGTGGGTTCGATTGCTAAGACCTCAAGGCATAACTATGCAAATAGCAGGACAAGCCAAGGAAGCATTTTGTGCACTGCGTTTGATGTCTAAGGGAAAGGGTCCACCCGCCAAAAATCCGCACACGAAATGCACAAAAAAACCTACCAAAAAGAGTCCTCCCCAGGCAAAAAGCGCTCCCTCGAAAAGTCCCCCCGCAAAAAGTCCCACGAAAGGTCCTCCTGCAAAAAGTTCTCCTACAAAAAGTCCCCCCATGGCCAAGCAGAAAGACGAAACGGCCATTAGAGGCGGCAGTAAATGCAAACCCAAAAATGAATGTAAAAGCCCAACAAATGATAAGCCTGAACCTGGAGCCGTGAAGAAAAGCTGCGATGATTTGCTTAACAAAAAGAGTGGCAAGAAAATACAGAGTCTAACGGAAATCCAAGGCGGTGGATTCTGCGCTCCGAAACGCACCCAAGACCCACCCCACAGTGCTGGCATGGAGCGTTGGCGCAGCATATCCCTTTACGCCATACTGCCAATGGTGGCCATACTCACACTCCTGGTATTCAGCTCACACAAGGAGCACGAGCATCCAGAGTTCAAGTATTTTCCACACATGTACAAGCGAACGAAGCCTTATTGGTTCAAGGATGGAAATCGAACTGCATTTCATAATAGCCATCAGAATGCCCTGCCTCCCGCTGGCTATGAGGATGAAATAGATGAGTTGGGAGTGGGACAGGAATCAGAGACGGAAAAGGACAAGAAGCAACGTCTGAGCGATTTTGAAAAATTACTGAAAGACTGGAAAAAGCATGTCGCAGCGCAGTAGCAGAAGAAGCGTTAAGAAAGCACAAACTAAGGAGAAGAAAATTACTTAGAAACGAGTGGAAAACCACATTGAAACGTGAAGAAAAATAAACAAAAACAAGAACAAAATATATGGAAAAAAAGGGATTTGAATAGATCAATCATTACAGATATTCCTCCTCTACAAATGTGGGCGATGGCATTTCTTGGCTGTATTCTTTTTTCGGGAATTTCCTTTGTTGGGAGCTTCCCAGAATAAACACAGAAATTATATCGCTCGCTTTGTAAATTTCATCAGAATCGTTTTGAAACTCTTAGTACACATTTCTAAATTGATTTTTCGGAAACTAGAAACAATAAATTTTTTGATTTTTTTTTTTTTGCTACAAAATATGCTGCATATAATTCGATGCTTAAACCGATTCATCATAATCAGACATGCTAAAAGTAGCAATAATATGTCCCAGGGTAAATTTAAATTTAAGACTTATGGTACGGAGAATAAAGAAAACGCTAGCAAGGACGAAACGATCATTTGCTGCGGTAGTAAATGCAATCCAAGAAAAAAGATTCCATGTTCTCCGGTGGGGAAAAAGGGCTCAGGAAGAGTAGGAGGATCTGGAGCAAGCAGCGAGGATTTGCTTATAAAACGTGAGCGAAATGGTGTCATGATCAATAAGAAACAAACTCTGGCGACTATCCAGGGTGGCGGTAAGTCACATGATCCTTGCAAACCAAAGAAAGAAAAGACGGAAAAACATGGCGGTGGTATGAAACGTTGGCGCAACATTTCGCTCTTTGGAGTGCTGCCACTGGTGCTCCTACTCACGGGTTTAGTTTTTGGCACCCACAAAGAGCACGAACATCCAGAGTTTCTGTATTATCCTCACATGTACAAGCGGACGAAGCCTTATTGGTTCAAGGATGGCAATCGAACTGCCTTTCATAATAGTCACCAGAATGCCTTACCCCCAGCTGGCTATGAAGATGAAATGGATGAAAAGGGCGTGGGCCAGGAACCAGAAACGGAAAAGGACAAAAAACAACGGCTTGATGATTTCCAAAAATTGCGCAAAGATTGGCAGAAGAATGGCAGCGGAAGTGAAGCTCATGTGAAGCCAGAGACTGTGGCCGCTGAGAAGCACGAGTCGGCGGCTGAGGCGGTGAAAAAGAGCGCTGAGGCAGAGCAAAAATATCCGGAAGCCGCAGCAGAGAAACCACAAGAAGTGGACCAACTGTATTCAAAGAAATTGCCGATCTACGATGTCGAAGAAGAGGAATAATATGGCAAAAAAAAGTGGAAGATTCCTGGCAAACTTTAACTGGCATTTCGTCTATCATTCTACATGAAAATTCCATCAAATTGTTAAGGTAACCTTGGATATAATAGCCACAAATGCTTGCTGGTCGGTAGGGTTTCATTTCAAATACAAATGTATTGCCGGCTTTAAGGCGTAATGCCAAGTTGCCGTTTCCTTTTTGCTTTGACTGTGTGTGTGGGCCGAACGCATGTGCAGCAAAATGCATTTCCAAATGATTTTGTAATTTATTTCTTTTTTGGGGTGGTTGGATTTCATTTGATACAGCAAAAGGAACAGCTCTGCGCCGCAAAAGCAGCTACAAGATTTACGATGTTTAGGACCAAAAGAACCCTGAACCATGGGTCGAGCCTGTGTCACACCTCAACCCTTGACCCATACTTTGGTAGGCTCCAACTGTTTTGTGGCTTTTGGAAATTGCTTCTTGCATTTGCGTTTAAACTTAATTGTTGCGGTATCTAGACCACAGAAACTGTCCTTTCTTGTGCAATTGAAAGGGTTATTGGGTCTTACGATAGAAACGGAAAATCGTTGATCGAAAATGCACTCCGTTTGATGGTAAAATCCAGTGAAGGCTCGTAACTTTATGAATATTCAAAGTCTCCTGGCAGCCACACTTTTCAGCAGGGTTCCTGCTTAGTCCCTCTGCCCGCATATCTCTGTCATTTCCGCCGCTGGGGTTTGCCAATTTTCTCACGCCTGTCACACACACTGAAAGTGGAGTCGAAAATTGCCCCCAATTGCCAAAAGTTGCTCAAGCCAGGCGCGAAATTCTACGATAAGTTGAGTCGGGCTGTCCATGCCGCGAGCAGGCGCCGAATAAAAACTTTGCATAATCTTCGACCAATCCGGACCAATTCCCAACCCATCACCCAACCGACTCCGGGACAAGTGGTGGGCACATAAATTATGCAGTATGGAAGGGTGTGGGGTTAAGGAGCTGCCAGTTGAATGCAAATTTAATGAAAATTGTCGCCGGAAAAAGACGTTTGCCAATGGCCCGTTTAAGTTTCTCCTTGCAGCATGCTCCCGATTCGTGCCATTCGAGCCATATAAATTGCCGTGATGCCCATTAACATGCGACACGAGGCATGCCAACGCGTCGCCGACGGCATTTGTTGCAGCACTTTTATTGCACAAATTGGTGGCACGGAGGCTGGGCTGCCAAACGACACGGCGATGCGATGGTTGTCTGGCTAAATTGGCTTCCAATAACACGACCCCACGACCCACGACGAGTGGGGAGTCGGCTGAACTGGGGGTCGACTTCTCTGCGGGTCGTGTCTGTCCCACACCTCTCCTTCCCTCTATGCACTAAAAATACGTATATCTCTTACGCTGGGCAGACAAACAAAGGTTTTTGGGGGCAACAATGAACCGGCGAGGCCAAAAAAGGGCCGCAAACTAACCAAGGTCGGCTTGCACACACATATCCTTGTGCACCTTTGCAGGCCCCTGAAGTGTCATCCTAAAATTTGTATGAGCGGATATTGGGATCCCCATCCCATCTAACCATCATTTGAGCCAAATACTGAGCCCTCTGCTCGTTGACGCTTTTCAGCTTAAAGGCAATAAATGGAACGTCTGGCAGACATGAATATGTGCAACATTTTGTTGAGGGACTGCTAAAAATGTGACATTTAATCAATAGTTTGTCGCAGGATCAAAAAAATGCGGTATAGAATATTCTACGTTGAGGTAGAATAGTATATAATTTTAGTTTTTAAAAGTTTAATTTGATTATATCAAATGATTGAGGCATTTAAATCATGTAAAGTAGCTGCCACATGTGTTGCCATACATCATTTCCCATCGAAACACACAGCTAATAATAACGTGTACTTTGAGATAATAATCCATAAAGATCCTTTCGTCTTTGGCCCTGATATGCTGCCTCTTGTTCGGTGGTGATCTCCCCCTATGGCCAATAACTAGGGAAAGCAGCTGTCTCTGCCAAAAGTTTCATTCAATTTTTCATTGGTTTGGCTTGCCAAACAAAAAAAAAAGTATTGAAAAATTCTACAGATCATAAATCATGGTTATCATGTGGAATTTCGCACTCCGGTACTCGGAGCCTGAATCCAGTCTCTCTTTTTGCTCTTATTTTTCCCCATCTGCTCACATGTCGGACCACTAGTGGGTGATGTCGGGTGGGTGTACTGTGGGGCTGCCCATGGTAAAGCATATTTCACTTGGCTCTCGCCGGCATACTCAATTACCACTTAATGTCCTTACTTCAGCACAATTTACGCAAACATTCGGTGCCCGGAGAGGAGGAGATGTGCAGGGCTTTTTGGAAGATAGCAAAATGTAGCCCAAAAATTCCAATTGCCACAGAACGGGCACTGTGCAACATGCAGCAGGAAGCAAAAACAGGAAAAATATTATTTCTCTGCAATTTGTTCGCAGTGTGTGGCAACTTGTAATGACTTTTTCTTTCATTTACCCCCCAACTCCCTAGTTTTCCTTCACTTTTGCTGGCAAAAGGCTGCACAAGAAAATTGCACAAGTTTTTTGGCAGTTTCGTTATTTTGTATTATTTTTTCGTGTTTGCTGCCTGACTTCTTGCGTGATTTGTATACATTAAATTAAGTTGCAAAATGCTGAACAGTGAAGCCTAATGAAACGCGCACGGACATGCAGTACTCCACTGATTTGCATAAGTGAAGACTATTTTTAGAGACTTTAATGAGTGGAAAAGTGATTACAGGGATTCGTTTTTTTTCAGAAAACGAATAGCAGGCTATTGTCTTCCGCCCGTTTAAACAGAAGCTACCCGCAAGGATGTAATCCGTTCTGAAGCTTTCATTGCACTTGCCGTTTGGCTTTTAATTAAATCAGTATCTGGCAAATCAATTTAGAAGCAGGAGCCCAGGCGCAGGCAGGAGTCGAGCGTCAATCTGTGCACCACTTGGCTCATTAAAGCGCCAAACAATTTCCGTTCCGGATGTCGTCGCCAGCGCGACAATCCACTCCACGCCAACGACACTCTACCCCATACCCCCATGGCCCATCAGGTGCTCCAAGTGCAGCGAAGAAGCTCATGAATGGTGCTAAAACATTGTAGAAATTACGCTGGAATTTAGTTGTTGGTTGTATAGTTCAGGGAGAACCACAGAACTTTCAGTAAAATTCTAACCAAATCACACATATTGCTAATGTTTTGCTGAAGTTCTGAATTAACCAGGGAATCTCGAGAAACATTCTGTAACATTTATTTAGTAGGATTTAATTCAGCACAAAAATAACAGAAAGATCTCACCCTAACAGTCATTCCCATCAAAATAATTACAACCAAAACAGCACCTACTATAATAATAATAATAACAATTAACATTTACAGGGGTATGTGCAAACCGTTTTTCTGGTTGGGTTAAGTAAACCATTAGACAAATATGCCAGTAGCCATTTGCCATTCAAACTAATTGCAATGCAAGCTCAGGTGAGCAGTGTCTGGTAAATGGTTAAAAAATCTAACAGTCACCAGAAATACAGCACATCACGAGTGGAAACGTTTGTGAGACGCTTTGTACGCGACACCACTTTTATACCCGGTACTCAGTCACTATATCCGTAACTTAGTGGGGTTTTTTTTTTTTAATTTCCCAGTGTGATATCCCAACCCTCTGGATGCAAAATTTGGTGGCTCCATCTTTTATAGTCTCTGATATCCGGGCGATCATCAAGATGTACTGTCAGAAGAACAGACGATTAGCCGGACGGACGGACAGACAGACATGGCTATATCGGCTCGGCTATTGAAGCTGATCAAGAATATATGCATATACTTTATGGGGTCGGAAACGACCTAGTACCGGGTATAAAAACATACGCAAGCATCAACAACAAACAATAACAACAGAAACTGGAGCTGCTGACAAAAAAAATGCCATCACTAAAATAATGATGAAAAAGTTTGATGAAAAAGCGGGAAGAATACAATTTTATAGAAAATAAAATGTTAACTTAGCATAGTTCTACACATTTTCCATGGTTTTGTGCTTCCTTTCATAAATGGAATATGTGCAATTAATGAACAAATTGACAGGCAAACCAACGGAAAGAAAGACAGAAAGACAAATATTTTGCATCGTGAAATGCCATTATTGAAAGCCAATGCTGGGTGCAATCTTGTGAAACATAATCCAGTACGAGCTTTATTCGAAATGCGAGAATATTTGAAAATGATTTCATGCCATGGCCATGTGCCATTGTGTTAAAGTAAGTTTTTGGGCAAAGGATGTTTGATGTTGAAAGCATCAGTTGCCAGGGAAAAAAACGTATCATTAAATGTGGAATTTTCAACAGGCACAGCTTGCACATTCTTGGATGCTGCAATAACAGATTGCTTGCAAAAAAGGAGCAGGAATTGTGGTCTCTTGGCTATGCTGAAGGCTAAGGCATGCCGCATGTACTTAAAGTTCTTGAACATAAAACTTAATTTAAATTCGTTGATTTCAATTTTATATCGATATGTTGAGTGGGTTAATCGATGTGTTCAAACGCCAAGCGAATTAAATGCCAAACAAACAAATGTTAGCAACCCATTGATTAACTTTGAAGCGAATCACAAAAAAAGTTGCCCTTCAAAAATAAATAATTGTTCAAGTTACCGAAAAGGAAATCAAGTAAGTTAATGAAACTATGAGGAACTCAAATTAAATACCATCCGGTTCGTTAGCTACAAAATGTAACAACTCATATATAGAAAATCTCCGGGTTCCCCTGAGAAATCCACACAGGAACGTCAAAAATGGCTGATGAAGGCACTGCTGATATCGTTTCTCGAGCCCCGCTGGATATTTCCATACTGGGCGTGAAAGCAATCCTCAAAGTGCTTGGTTTGGGCAATCTCTGTATGCTGCTAGAAGTTTAATGTTATATTCAAACATCTGCAGGTGGCGAAGGTTAAAGCTGCCTGAAGCTTGCCTCAAGTTCGTGGACCAACACACAGGAACCAGGAACCAGCTGGCGGACTGGCAGGACTAGGACTATGTAGGTACATGCCAATGCATGTCCCTGCCTCTCAACATGGTTGACATTCCGCTGAGAGTGTGTTGTGGCATGGCAGCTATACGGAGTGCAGGCAAACTCGAAATCCAAAATGTTTATCAGATGGCCTGTTCAGATACCGGAGGTAAAAGTGTCGGAAGCCATACAGTTAGCATAGGCAGGGAGTAAGAGCCTTTAAGTACAACATTTGAATGAGGAAAGGTTATCTCTCTCTCTCGGTCCACTTTGATGGCTTTGCCACTGACGAACTTTCCAGTTATTGAGTTCTGCTCAACCAATCTGCCTCCCAGATGCACTCTTTCGAAGCCAATTCAAAGGATGAGTTCCCCACCGCGCCCCTCATTAATTATAATTTGAGGCAATTAAGTACACCCCTTAACTACTGTTCTCTGCAGTTTGACCCACATCGCGGTAGCTTTTGCAACGGCTGCCTACTGTGCCTCACGCCTTTGTGCTCTGAAGGGTTCCGATCCCTTTGGTTGGCTTTGTTTTGGCTTTTGGTGTTTGTTTCATCCTGATTGCGGCTCTTAATGGCTCATTTAGTGAACTTTGACTGGCATTTATGTTTGTTTTATTAGGGGGAGCTTACTTATTGGATTACTGTTTGCTGTGGAAGCTAGACAATTAGTGTTCTGTCGGGTGATATTCCGTAAGACAAGTGGAACATCTAGTATAATTTATTTTTTCCTAGAAAATGAACAAAATATGATAATTATTGCAACAAATAATACAAGCAAATATTTTTATTTCTATTGTTAAACGCTTGTCCTGTTTTATGAGTATGCCTTTCAGCCTTTCAGGGCCACTCGTTATGAGCAAACATGACTCCATATCTATTCCCCTTAGCTTGTACAACTGTCGCCACTCGTTCACTCTATCTATCCGACAGTTTTGACGCATTTCAATGTGACATTGTTGGCTGGTGTTTCCCCCTGCCATGAATTATATTTGGCAGCCAACAACTAGCTGTACATAGTACATATTTGTGTACAAATAGTTTGTTTATAATATGTATGTGGGGAGAGAGACATGATGACGATTCAGCAGTGTTAATTACTTAATAGTCGTTTTGTTTTCGAGTTTGTTTAGTACGAATCTCTATTAATTAGAGCACGTACCAGAGAGAGAGTGAGAGAGTAGAGTACACAGAGAAAGTGGAGTAGAGTGGGGGACAGTTGCAATAGTCAAAGCGAAATTTTGAAGAGTGGCAACATGTGTGCACTTGCGTAATGAGCTACAAAACGTAGCTGGTGCCTGGCAAAATATGTTTTAAAAAGCCCAACAAAATAAGTGAGAAGAGAATGCGCGTGGCCAATGGCAAATAATAATTTCCTTTTTAGGAGACGATGCGTGTTTGTAGTGTGTGTTTGTGTCTACAAATGTTTTAATTATGCTTATTTTTAATGCTTAATTAAAAAGTCGTCAAATACACAGACACAAACGGAGTGGGAGGAGCAGCAGCAGCAAACGGAGCAACAGAGACACAGACAAAAGACAGGGCTACAGCGACACAATCACGGCACAAATGTGGCAGAAGACAAAAAAAATCAGTTGACAGGCCATGTTTAATTGCACCTCGAGTGTCTACACATGAGTGTGGGTGCTCGTACGGGCGTGATGTGAAACATTACAGACGTGACTTTGCAGTTAATGAAGTGAAGCTGTCACTTGTTACCCATAGGTCAGAGGTCATAGGTGTAGTCGAAGACCTTGTAGCAGCGAACCATAATTAGTAGAACATTAAACTTAACTCAAGTGAGATCAGCAGTGGGGAAAAGCACACAACAGAAGTAGTAATTAAGAGATGAAAATTAAGTATTTCGATACAAAGTTGTAAAGTCTCTTTATCTTAGTCGTAATGGTTCGCAGAAACAATCCCTAACAATCTCTTAAACCTATTTTCTATATATGTAAATATAATCGATCGTGGAAGCTACAACCACTTATTAATCACATTTCAAGGCTCGTATTGATTCTCCTCTGTGATGGGTTGAATTTATTTGTTGGTACAGAAACACATAATTAGAGCCAATCATCTGCCTTTCCATAGAACCATCTACTGACAATAGACTTGTTCTTTATACTTGCAGCTGCAGCCCATTATGAGCGGAGTCTTCCGTGCTGGCCGAGTGCATAAACTGCTGCTGGCTGGGGCACAGGAGGAACAACAGCGACGACAAAGTGGCAGGACAAACATATCAGCAGCTTACGATGATAACAACGATAATAATGATGGCGCGGAGAAGGAGCAGCATAATCAAAAAAGGAGCAGAAGCAGCAGCAGCAGAAGCAGGATCAGGAGCCAAAGCTCAGCGAGTTGTGGCATTTCCGCTCGACAAAATCCGGAACTGAGGCGACAACCCACCCAGCGACTACGACAAAGCCAGCTCCTCCGGCCGACCAGAAATTCTAGCTCATCATTTCTGTGGCTCTTGCTGCTCGGGCAGGCAATGGCCACTCTGGCATCATCAAAGTCTACCAATGACACGACGGCCAGTACGGGCCTGTCATTCCACACCAGCAATGCCAGCGATTATGCGCTGCTCTTTGGCGACTTAACAACAACAACGACAGCTCTGATGCCAGCACTGGGCGGTGGTCCTGGTGCTGCCATCGATGTAATCGAGGATGAGGAAGATGCCGCCAATGCCAGTGAATATATCTTTGATCGCACCGACGTGCGCATCATATTTATCACACTCTATACCATTGTCTTTTGCTGCTGCTTTTTCGGTGAGTACTAAATTATAGATCCCTTTTTGCGATACGTAAAGGGGAAGTACACACATTAATAAGACTTGTAATTCTGCACGTTTGCAGACTTTGTCTCATTTTGATTTGTTGCTCAAATCTCTGGGTGACCTTTTGTAAGTATTTCATTCATTGGATTTGCCCTCCTGTCCTGTGAATGTTCTGGACAAAACATGAATGAAAGTAAATGGCAAAGGCACAGGGAAAGTGCCTGCCACACGCCGTTTTGTGGTGTCCGCCCATAGGCAGCATCCCATTGCCCCGTGACCCATTCCGGCTGCGTGCTAATGTCCATTGAGGCCCGTTGAAAATTTTACTGCTGACTCGCCAATTACTCAATACCCATTAATTGGTTTGGTTTGGTTTTATTTAGGGGTGTAAGGTGTTTTTTGATGCATTTTTTAAGGATTTTTATATTCGGTACTCGAAAAGTAAATAGGATCTTCAGAGACCATAAGAGCTTGAGTAACCAAAAGACCATAAAAGAACCAGACCAAAAAACCATCTACATCACTTGATGTAGATGTAGAAAAAATGTAAAGTATAAAATTCGAAAAATCAAAAGGTCACATATTTACATATGTATACTGACTGGGTACCGGGTATAAAGGTTGAGGCGCGTACGAAGCGTCTCACAACGTTCCTCCTCGTTTTTGCTGCTTTGTGTAGGGTGTTTTGCCTGTTTTTATTTGACTTTTTTGTCGGAAAATCTTACTTAAGCAGAGACAATATTTAAGGGCATATTTAACTCGTATTACACGACAACACTCACAAACCTACTGAGAGAATCTCTGTATTATAAAAACCCAGCGAATAAGCTGAACAAATGATTCACCAGGTGCCTGGCTGCCATTACAGTGGGTGTAAAAATGTAAGCAATATTTGGTACATTTGTAGGAGTATTTTTGAAGGTTGTATCATACGTAATAAATGTGGCTCGGACCATTTATACATACCGCGTGGGACGCGTTGTACGAGCACTTAATTTATGGCACCCATTAATGAATTAGTTATGTGTTTTTGTGCTGTTTAATTGCACAATCATAAATATCTTATGTCCACCCCTTAGTGTCACATCACACTATAAGGATACATCTCAACTAAAATATAAAAACTGGACTGGTTTCTCGGGGCAACAGTTTTTCGGGGGTTTATTAACCGCTCACACAGGCACACTGAATGGCAAATGCCAAATGGCGACAAATGGCTTCCTATTACACACAGAGAGAGACAATTGCAAAATGTAGGCAACTTTTTTGCAGCCACGACATGGGTGATGATCGGGGTGAGGTGCAGGGACAGAGGTCCAGGACACTGACAACGATCAGCCATAAAATTTGCATGTTGCAGTCACGTTCCAAGTTGCTTTTTGCTGATTGTTGCTTCACCACTCCAGCACGCGAAGAGTATAAAAGGTATATAACATATGGAATAGTGTTTGTATTAGGCATAAGGAACAACCTCGAATGTAAATAAACCAATTGAAGAGGCTTTTGTGCTTACAAAATGGTTGCCATTCCTATTAAAAATGTTGACCGTTGAACACTTTTTACATCCAAAATAATTATATTATAGATAGTTCACCATTACAGTTGGTAGTGTATCCTTAAGGCTTAATATTGCACCACTTAAGTCTCCAAAAATTGTTGTTTTGCTGTTGCTGCTCCCGTGACAAGCCACTTTATTGCCCTTTTGGCTGCTTGCGTGTGTGTGTTCGTGTATGAGGGGTATGGTGCACGAGCACTGCTCCATTAATTGCTGTTCCCCTGAGCCTCATTTAGGGTCTAACCCTGCGGACATTCATCACCTAAACCCTGAACTGTTTGCTTAATTTTGTGGTCCAGTGTTTAGCTAGAAGCTGGCTTTGGCAAACGGCCAGAAGTCGTAGCACTTAGAGTTACTTTCGCTGAAAAAATATTGTTATTATTTGAACAATTATTTTGGACTCTGAAAAGAAGGACATACATAGAGATAGCCTCTTACAGCCGCTGCTTCCTTTCTTCTTCAATTGAAACAAATTTAATAATACGGACGAAAATATAAATGTATTAAAAAGAGAGGGGGAAACTTTTTTCCAACATATTGTATCGTATATAACACAGGCAGCAAACACAACAACACTGCCCCACTGCACCAGCTCCATCCCCAACCCTAGCTCCAGCTTCAGTCTGTTTTCTCCCTCCTGTACCCTCTTCAAACCTTGCTATCGTATTTCATGGCACGCCTTGAAGTGTTGCACGTTTCCGGTATTTTTTGGCACATCTCTCGCTGGGGTTTTGTTTCTTTCGTCCTTTGTTCCTTTGCTCCGACAGTGCTAGTGCCCCGCTATTCCGCCTATCGAGAGTAATTAAAAAACTTTCACTCGACATTTGTTTGTCATGTAAGGCTGGCTGCCACTCAGAATAAAATGCTGCTGCTGGCCAATTTCTTTAAATTTTCAGCTACAACTACAATATTATATGTTGTTTGTGGATTGAGTTTTCATTTGAAACTCTTGTCTAGGATATAAAATAAAATCCGAAAATGGGTATTTATAAGAGTATATATAATTTGTATATAAATTTAATTATTTATAAGTTGTTGGGGAACGAGTAATAAAATGTACTTTCAAAAATTTTGACACAACAAAGACTAGTGTCTGTAGATCTTCCTGCACTGCGCTGAAACCACGGGCATATGTACATATGTATGTAGAAAATACATTAAAAACCAATATTAGTTTTGTGTTCATTACAACTTTCTTAAAACTTGTTGGAACCCTCCTGCCACTTTTTGTAATGCTCTGTTCTAGATGTATTGATTGAGTTATCGTAGTCAAATTTTCAATTTATGTGAGAAGCTCATATGGCCAAAAGATATCTTGATCTATCATAGGATGATGGTTTAATAGAGGTAAAAATCATTGTACAATAGATTCACAAAAAAAAAAAATACAAATTGAAGGTATAACATTGAAGAGCCTTATGATAATGCTGAGGTACTCTAGAAATATTACAACTTTCAATATTCGATCTGGAGATTTGGCAGCTAGATTATTGCTTTTAAAACTTTGCTAAACAAAATTAAAGCTGGAAAATAGCGCCCAAGAAATCTGTAGCTTTCTCCGCCTTTGCTATAAATTCGCTGTCAAAGTTTTAAATTATTTCTCTGCCTTAAATATATTTTTATTGTAAGTTAGATTAATTTTGTAGCCGTTCGGAAATATGGAATGCAATTAGGGCCCGCAAAAAATTCAACAAACAGCATAACATATGCGAGGTACTCACCGTTCTGTGTGGTGCAACTGCAATAATTTATTTTGCATACCAATTTTTTTTGGCTGTGCTGCTCTGCCACTCCTAGTGCTTCTTGCATACAGAATGAGATTTAAAACCGTGAATCGGTGAGGCAGAAAATTCATTTTATTAATGCAAATTATGTTGTAGCAGCCAATTCAGAAACAAGATACACCACGAATTTGAGCTTTAAAGTGCACCTTTGAACCGCAGCCACCATTAATGGCTCACGGACAAGCCGCAATTCTTGGCCAACAATGCATTTGACGTAGCGAAATATGCATTACATATTTTGTCTTAATTGCCATTTGGTTTTGCGGCTTATCCCAGATCATAGGGATTGAGGTTAGCTTTGATATGTGCCTTGAGCCTTAGGCACTGCCCGTATGTTATGAAACTAATCAGATAATGCAACTAATTTGATTAAATTCGATTTGCAAAGTGACAGTTTTTATTTTATTTATTTTATGAAGAACAAAAGATAATTTCATCACAGGGTGGGCTATAAAACTGTTCCAAAAACTTATCTTACACATTTAACCATGTCAAAACAGCAACCCACTTACACCCAGTCTGGGAAAGTCCTTATTTAATTATGGCCAAAGCTGTAACGAATTTAGATAGATGCCCCGGACATGGACATGGACAGCAAAACCCTAATTAAAATAAACTTCCAACGCTACATTAAATCTAAACCCAGAGACAGAGTCGGCACCAGGGGAATATGAAATTGTCACACACAGAAGGAGAAGGGAGTGCCATGCAAAGCGCACACTGAGTGGAAAAAGTTATTGCTCCCAGTGCAGTTGAGAAAAGTTTAGGCCCCGGACCAGACCGGCGGACCCATGTCGCCATTTGGGCTGCCAGCGGGCATGTCACTTGCACAAACATATTTTTGTTAAACATTTTTTAAAGTCTCCCAATTGGTTTTTTGGTCTTTAGCCGCTCGACTTGTGGCGCTGACATGCGGGCAGGTTAAGGCATAAGAAATGATGTACCAATTTCTTATTATATTTTATTTGTATGATATTTTTTATTTCCTGCCGCAGCTCGATTGGACGAGTGATCGCTCATTGATATTTGATATTTTTGTTCATCTTTCTAGGCAATCTACTGGTCATTCTGGTGGTCACACTGTCGCGACGTCTACGCTCCATTACCAACTTCTTTTTGGCCAATCTGGCATTTGCAGACTTTTGTGTAGGCCTGTTCTGTGTGATGCAGAATCTTTCCATCTATCTTATTGAGAGGTGAGTCACGTAACGAGCTACTTTAATATACATTTAAAGTTCTCCTGGGAGCACTTATATGTATCATTTTAAGGATGTTTTCTACACGCTATTCGTTTTGTTTCTCCCGCTTTTTAATCTTCTAACACTATATACATATAATTTCGTGGTTTACTCTTTCCCATGACCTACTCTTCTGGTGCATGTAAGGGCGTTCTGTAGTTTCCCTATGCAACTCTTAGGTTCTTCCTGCAATTTATTATTCAGTGGCTGTCACTGTCTGACGTGTGCAGCTGTCGTGGGGTATTGTGGCGAGGCACCTGAAAGTATGCGACACACAGAAAGTTTCAACTCTCAACTCTGAAACATTTTAACAGCCAGCACACCACACACTAAAGTAGTAACAAATGTGCAACACAACACAAACAAGCGACGCTTTTCGTTGCGTGTGTACTTTGTCCCCTTGTCCATAGCGCTGCATGCATCATCCTCAGCGCCTCATCCTCATTCTGACCATGATTATTTGCATAGCTTTTTCTTACTTGCACATGCTGAAACGTGTGGCGCTAACGTAATACTAACGAAAAGAATGTACGCTTTAACGTCAGATTATTACAATTGTTGTCATTAAATGTTGTTCTCTTTTTTTATAACCGGTACTCGAAGAGTAAGTAGGGTATATTCTATTTGTGCACAAAGTCAATGTATGTAACGCACAGAAGGAAACGTTTCCGACCCCATAAAGTATATATATTCTTGATCAGCTTCCGCCCCGCAAAAACCTCCCAAGCCTACAATTTGGAAGATAAAAAAACTTAAAACGGCATTCCGTAGGGAATGACCATATCTATCAGATCACCAAATTGGGATCCGATTGGATTGGAATGAGGAAATTGATTTGCAGTTGCTAAACCCACCCTGCCCTGTTCCGCAGCTTGTATTTTTTTCCTTTCACATTCTTTCAATAACACTCTCCTTCTGCAGTGTGCGGCCGCTGCCTCTGCCGCGTCTCTGCCTCTGCCCTCACTCTGCAGTGTGTGGCTCTAGGAAAGGGGGGCGAGCTAAAGGAGCGTGTTGGTGTGAGAAGTGTTGTAGATGTAGATGACAGATGAAGAAAAAATGTAAAATTTGACAAAACACCGCTAAGGTGCAGATGTAGTACTGAGTACCTGGTATAAAAGTTGTGACGGTTAAGAATCGTCTCACATATCCCTTCTCGTTTTACTTTAATTTTGTGCGTCTACATATTGGAAATTCTCTTAAAGGTTTTCTTCAATAACAGATTTAAATGCTTTGGGTTAAAGGTTTCTGTTAGCATATGTACATCTATGTACATATATATATCAAGTGGTCCACTTACGTGTATTATTGACCTTTTCCCTTCGTTTCACCTTGGCATCAATATAGAATTTGTTTTTTGCGGGATATGCGCAGTCAAAATCTATTCCACAATGTGGAAGTTTGCATAGCTCAATAGGCCTCCATTCGAATTAAGCCTTTTTGAAAGATACAAATTAAGATATCTATAACTTAATAAACAGCCCAATCGAAGCATGGAAACTCACCAATTAGCAGTAGAAAAATGAAGAACCTCATGACTAAGCAAAGTACTTCGATGGCAGATGCCAACAGTGACAATACTTCTAGCGACATTTACATTAATTTTTACGTCGGAATAGGTGAATAAAATATATCTGAAAAATTTGCATTTTTCCTGCCTCAAAATCGTTTCCTTGCACAGACTTCTTTCACCTTTTTCACACATTTACTCTCTGTAGGTTTGCATTTCGGTTGAATAAAAACCAATATGGAAAATCACTTTTTAAGCTAAAAGATCAACGCATTTGCATAAATGAAAGTACTTAGTGGTGATGAGTGCAGAAAAAAAGTGTTCTGTGTATATATTTCTTCTGTACAATTTCCTTGTGAAAATAGATTTTATTTTACTTCACTCATGCTCAGTTGGTTTTTAGTTTCTTTTTGCATTTCACGGTCACTTGGCTGCTGCCAGGCAAACAAATACACAGGCGAAACTGCAAGTCAAGCCGAACAAAAAATACAAAATATAATGCCAATTATTCTGAGCACATTTTTCATTTGCATTGCAATTCGAGTGGAAATTGTTGTGGAAATGTTTTTGCCATTAATTGTTGTTTTTTGCTTATAAAATAAACATTAGTTGGCTATAATCTTGTGATGATTGAAATTGCGAGTAATAAAGAAATTTATTTACTGCAACAACTATTTGGCATTTAAATTATTAATAAAAATGATGTGTTGGCCGAGAGTTCCATTGAGAATTTTGCAGGGAAAAGTGTGTACCCAAATATTACTCCTGCCGATTGTCAGGCCATTCCCCGACACTGAAGCTTGAATTTTGATTGGAAAAATATTCCTCGACACTCCAGATTCCATTTTACTAGACCCTCTATTTCAAGTGGCATTCCATTCCAAAACTATATTAATAAATTATACTTTTATTGTGGTGCCCTGCCGATTAGAAATGCGCCAATTTGCATTCATACAAATGGTCAATAAAATTATTTATTAAATGCATATTTGCTCTGCATCTATTTCAGAATGTGTTTAAGTTGTCAGAAATGTTTGGTTTAGCATATTTTCAATTTCATTTATTCGCTGTGTGGCAGCGCTAAGAGCTTTTCGTGATAAGTCCGAAAAACTCGTGGGGTGTCTGTCAATACACACAATTATCATATTAAAAGCCTAAATTAGTTAGCTGACCAATACTCGTATGTGTTTGGCATAATTTCATCAAAATTATGCGCACAAGTTCATGACGACCCCAACAACAACCAGTATAAAAAAACCATATGCAAAGTGGCAAGATTTTCGGGCAGAAATTATGTAAATAAAAAGATTGTCTAGTCTGTAAAGCCTGTACCATTATGCTCCTATGGCTCTCAATTACGGGACTGTCTGTACTTCTGTGGAAAAGCAACTCTTGTAGACATTTTATTGCCAGGCAACACACATTTTTGAGAGCCACCAAAAATTATGAGGCGACAAATGCCATTCGATTCACCTGGCAGCAGGTCGGCAGGGCTTTGCCAATCATTTTTATTTTTAATACGGCGAAAGTGCGCCGCAATCAAACCACGAAAGCAACACGAGGGGGAACCCTTATTAGAACCCACTTTTTAACTTGTCCCACAAATAGAATTACGTGCTAATCCCCCAAAAATACAATGAAAACCCACCATTCACATTTAATGTAATTTTAGCCATGGAATAATACGCGTATAAAAAGAAAACGAGAGAGGCAAGGAAAAAGAAAGAAAAGAGCAAAGAGAAAATTCTTTTTTTTTTTGCCACATAAAATACTAACGACACCTTTAATGTCGCATTAGTTTCGTGGGCGTGTCTATAAAATTTTATGTCACAGCGTGCCACGGAAAGTCCGCGAAGGGCCGCCTTTAACAGGAGCTACTTTGGAGGGGGAAAAGGGAGCTATCTTGGAGGAAAAGAGGAGCTTCATGGGCAGGAAAATGGAGCTAATGGAGCTGAAACTTGCTGAGGAAAAAAGCCACTTGCTGGCCATAAATAATTACTTATATTCAGCTTATATAATTACTTATATTGTGTCTTCACAGCTGGGTCTTTGGTGAGTTCCTGTGCCGCATGTACCAGTTTGTGCACTCGCTCAGCTACACGGCATCGATATTCATACTTGTCGTCATCTGCATGGAACGCTACTTTGCCATTGTGCATCCCATTACCTGCAAGCAGATCCTGACTGCGGCACGTCTAAGGGTAAGTTACAGTTTGATCCAAAAGCTAGACAACAATGGGAGAGAAAGTAAGCGATTGCTGGCACGATACTACACAGTTCGTGGCACGTCAATGAACATTAAATGGGCGGGCCACTCCATCATTGATGGGCAAAGATAGAACAAAAAAGAAATCTCAAAAGACGCGCCAATAATTGAAACCCTTAATGTTTCTCTCGTCGATTTACTACTTCATCTATTAGCCATTTAGTGCCATGCGGAGAACCTTATAATTTGTAGACATTATTCAAACTTTTCTTCATCAATTTTTGTCGACCATTTTGCCACAACTTTTGGGTAACTCATTTTGTTTTGACCTCAATTTGCAAGCTAATGAAACTTATTAAAGCGAACGAAAAACCCCAACCAAAAAAAAGCACCAAACACCAGCCAAAAATTATGTGAACAAAGAGCCCCAAAAGGCTTAATAAGCCTGCTGCAAAAACTTTTCGTCTGACAAAAAGTTTTACCCCAGAAGCCACCCAGAGCCATAGAAAGTGTGGGAACCACTTTTGTAAGGGCTCGGCGTGTCCTACCACACATTTATAGCCAAATGAAACAATTAGGCAAACTAAAAATGCGTTTTGTTAATGGTGATGGCCACTAATTAAACAACTACGGACTTTGGACATGAACGAAGACAACCAAATGGCAGGCGTCCAGCCATGCAAATTGTTTGTGTGTGTTAAACAAATTGCCAGTGGCAAAAGAATGTAAATTTGTACGTAAACGTTTTGTTTTTGTGTCTTCTTGTAGATGGTCATTGTCACCGTTTGGATTACATCGGCGGTCTACTCAACGCCCAAGTTTGTCTTTAGCAAGACCATTAAGAATGTGCACACACAGGATGGGCAGGAGGAGGAGATTTGTGTACTGGATCGTGAGATGTTCAACTCGAAATTGCTGGACATGATTAATTTTGTGCTGCTGTATGTGATGCCGCTGCTAGTGATGACGGTGAGTGGCCCTAGCATTAGTTTTAATTCTTAACTTGATTGTTTGTTTTTATGTACTGATCCAAAATCGTCTCTGCCTCGTTCTCTCAGGTGTTGTACAGCAAAATTGCCATTGCCCTGTGGCGCAGCTCCCGCGGACTGACCCCACATGTGGTCCAGCAGAAGCATCATCCCGCTGCTGCTGGTCAGGACAATAGCATGGGCATGCACAATAGCATGTACCATCATAATCATCATCACATCCACGCGCATCATCATCATCAGCTGCCAGCATCGGCATCGTCAGCGTCCGCGATGGGTTCAGGAGCGGCTACCGGAGTGGGCGCAGTCGGAGTGGGTGTGGCAGTGGGCATGGCCATGGGCATGGGCGGCGGTGGTGGTGGGGCATCACTTGCTTCCGGCAGCAGCAGCACCACTTCCTTGTCACGTAAACAGAGCAGTAAATATGAGAAGCGCGGCGTCAGCATCACCGAGAGCCAGGTGAGTTTTTCTTCTCGCTCTTTTATCATCATCGCAGCTGAGCGAAAACAATGATACAACAAATAAAGAGAGAGAGACAGAGTTGGGTGGGGGACTATGCAAAAAATGTCCAGGCAGGAACCCCGAGTGAAACTATAACCATGTTAATATGCTCGTAAAAATTCACGAAAATGGGGAAAAGGCGAAAACAGAAAGGGAGCTTCTTGCCTAAATTGCTCTGACCATCCAGAAAGCAGCTTTAAATGTGCCCTTCCCATAACTTCTTAAAGTCAAACAGATATTATGGTGAAGTATACAGATGTGTCAATTGTTTATACTTTTAGCGAGAAACTTCATTCGTTGAGGCAGGTGTCGGTGGCCGTTAGGGCTATTCGCCTGTCCATAAACGCGGCAGTTCGTTTGACAGTTGTCCCGTGGGTAAAGGCTGAAATAAACCAGCAGACAGAGCAGTGAGAGAGCGAGGAAAAAACGAAAAACAAAAAATGTTTTGCCATCATTTGTGGTGCACACCTGGCGTATACTTTATTTGCTACTGCTGCGGCCACAATTGAGTGCCCGTCTAAGCTGCTGTCGGGCACTCACTTGCAGGTTGAATTACTTTCCATGACAGCCAGGGCAGCAAGTGCAAGTGCAACACACCCACACACACACACACAATAAAATATAAAAAATGATTACGAGCCACAAAGTTGGTGCAATCGATCTGGCTTACGGTCTGACAGGTTTTCAGGAAAACCTTTCGATTGGTCCAGAAAATAGTATTAACACTCAAACAAGCAACAACACAAAACGCAATACCAAAATAAGTCAGTTTATTAATACACGTTTCTCCTCCGTTGATTCCGTGCTATCTTTAAATTTTTTTAAATTTAATTTTCAACTCTTTTCTCTATCTATCTCTGTGCGTTTCGTTTTGGTTCCTCTCCCACTCTACTAACCCAACAAAAAAACAAACCACACAAAACACAACAAACAACAAATTAGCTTGATAACTGCCAGGTAGGTAATGCTCATAACCAAAACTCTAATCTATCAATGGGTAATGCTGGATTTATTCTTACCGAAACGTAATCCCATTTTATTTTATTTGCCTTCGTCAGGTATCTCTCGAGGCCGATCGACCGATTGTCAGCGCCTGTCGCAAGACGAGCTTCTATCATCATCCCCATGCGCATCATCAGCGACAGGGCAATGGAGGAGGAGGAGGCGGAAGTGGCATGGGCATGGCTGGTGCCACACACATGTCACACTCGTCGAGCAATGTCCTGCGCGCTCGCCGTGGCGTCGTCCGTATGCTGATAATATTTGTGCTGACATTTGCCCTCTGCAATCTGCCGTATCATGCTCGCAAAATGTGGCAGTATTGGTGAGTATCCTCATTCCATTTATCATTCGTCCAGCCAGTCCAACCCAACCAAATCCCATCATCAAACTACCTTGAGTAAGTGTAAACAATTTGCATACCCTGTGATTTGTCTGTGGCATATATTCGGGGTATGCTGAGATTTACATGTAAAAATATGCTCTAAATAATTATTGAGAAAGTGGATCAACAGCACTTTTATTTAAAATTGTAATTGAAATAAATGAAGTGAAGTTTTAAGTATCCCGAAGTATCATTCATTCGACCTGACGCTTGAGTTTCCGCTTTTAATTTGCATTTGAATACGTAACAGCTACAATATATGGCTGCCAATGGACGGGTGGAAATTAACAGCTGGATGTGTGGCACAGATAAGGCCCTCCTGAAGGACGGTTTGGACTATGGCTGGGTAAACAATTAAGTTGTCTATTGAATCCGTTGACAGGCGCCCGTTACGCATTTTCTAATTTCCTTAGATCTGATCGATTTCACAACACTTTCATTTCATTTATACGAAATCCCATTCCAATTGAAAGACTTAAGACTCTTTTCACGCTATGCTACCATCCGCTTATCAAGCGATAGCCTCGCCAGACTTTCCTTTTCTTTTCCTAGAACTTCCTTTTAGCTTAGGGCTCCAATTTCGTTGGGCAGTGGGCGTTGGGAAACACTTTAGGAAACTGGATTTTGTGTGTGCTTTTTGGGTAGGCGTATCATAAAAACGATTTTGGGTGGGCTTTTGCTGTTTGCTGACGGACATGAAGCTCTGGCGGAAACGAAACGGCAGGGAGATAAATACTAATTTTTAGCAAAGTTAATACCGTAAATTGAAGCTGGGTAAATCATAGCCGAGAAGCTCCTTGCGGAACAAAACAAGAATTTAAGGTAACTCTTAAATTGAATGCTATTGGGTTCATTTAATTTCTTACTTTACCTACGACTAAATCATTCTCAACACTCTCAAAAACTAACGCCTTTAGTCAGAAAATGCACTCTCCTAAATTGTGAGCTGTTTTTTTCTGGAAATATCCTTCAAAAAGATTCCCAAAATGTCAGCAAATTCCATTAGCAAGAATTACAATGAAAGACAGAAACCCCCGACAAAATAAAGAGTTTTCGCTATAAATTGGCCAACTGCGAATCCATTCATAGGGATACACATACACATTTGGATTCACAGATTCACATTCCCATCTCGGCTGGTACGAGTTGTATGACAAATAGCTTCATACAAAATTTACGGAGGGTTTCAAAAATTCTTTTAATTCAATGTGGCAGCTCAACTGGGTGCCTGGAGTCATTTCTCTGGTGATTTTTTGATGTTTTCCCGTTTGCTTTTGTGTTCCAGTCGAGTGGGTAATTCTTGCCTTGCCTTAACTTGGCCATTATGTGACAGTTAACGGACAGTTGAGTGAGATAGTTCAATAGCTCGTGACAGCTGTCCAAGCAGGTGGAGTAACGAGCTTTCCTAGCAGGTGGCAGCGCGGTCGCAGCTCTTCGCGTAAAGTAAACATTGCAGGACCAAACAAATGAACTGTTTACAGTCACGTTGTGTTTCATATACAAGTCTACATACAAGTCCACGTTCAACTTCTCATTTAAGTCCACTTCCAATTCCAATAACAATGCTTTAAGCAATTTAAAATGAATAAGGCAGAGAAGTAAACAATTATGCTTAGGCTTGAAAAGCCTGAAATAAGTAATAAATAGTAAGAAGTGATAATCAAACCAGTACTTATATAGATTAACTTCATAAACCTAGGGAACATAAAAAAGTGCAAATTATGTGCTGTCGAAATGTTCACGAACTATTTTTGAAACCTGTCAATCGGAGAAACTTTGTATTTTGATTCTAGGAAATCATCATCACAGCGAGACTTTTCGCTGTCCTGAAGTATCCACTTGGCTAATGGTTGATTCTAGCGACCTATGACTGTGGATTTGTTCCCTGAGTGTAATTTATATGTCTTGTTAAATGGATGATTTGTACCTATTTCGAGCACTTTGTTCTTGAGGATTAATTTCTTATTGCTGCAGACCCATAGAGTACTTTTTTGTCCACCAACTTATGATTTCCTTAAGCTTTTAATGCGCCAAAATGGTTCACTTGCCACTGTGGCTTTATGCACTTCTCGGAGTATTAAATATAAATCTCAGTTACTTCAGTGACAGGGAAACAAATATGTCTGTGATGCATTAGCAAACTTATTTACGTTCTACATAATTCCAATTTGTGAACACTGAATACTAGTAATGCCATGCAGCTATTTTTTTTAATTTTTTGTTTTAAGAAAACAGTTTAATTATTATTGCTAAAAAGCCTTTGTGGCTGACAGTCTAACAAAGATAAATAGTTGGCATGCCAGACAGAAGAGAGAGAGACAGAAGCTCCTAACAACAGTAGGAGCTGGCAATATATATTAATTTCGAATGTCCTGTCACCCTTGGGCACCTCTAAATATAGTTATTGCTATACCTTCTGGTGTGGCTCCATCATATACTTGTCAAGGCGGACACAAATTCCGGTATCATGTTGTGATTGCTCTTACCCCTATTCCGGGGTAACTGCCACGCGCTGACAATTGGTTTGCTTGCTGCTGGGTCCTTGGTTCTTAAGTTCCTGCTGGCACGTGTTCATTATTAGCCCGGCAAGCACTAAGGGGCAGCAATGATGACAGCGATGACACTGAAGGCCGACATTTTGGTGATGGCTATAACAACTGGTACCCAGCAGTTGGCAAATGTCGCCTCATTAGATATAAATCCAAGCATGGGTACATCCAGGCACCCCATGGTGGGGTGGACAGCTCGTGGACCCGATTCGGCTGGGTCATTTAAATTCGGTCAGAAGCTGTTGGTAAATTGCAAAAGCCACTTCAAGAGACTCAAACAAAACAAACGGACGCGATGCTCAAGTGCCCCAATCAGAAGTACCCAGAACCAGAACCTCTCCAGTAGCAGCAGCAGCAAGTAGTCCCACTCCCCTTGTGTCTTTGTGGACTTGTGCCACTTGCAAGTGCAACGCAAATTGTAAGCGGGACAACAACTGCAAAACATTTTGACAGTTGGCTCAAAAGTTTTTCGCCGGCCTGTCCAATGTTCAAAAAACAAAGTGAAAGAATGGTCGTAAGAGTTAGAATACGACTGTTGCTACCCCCAAAAATCTTGTTCTACATTTAAAGGCAATTTTAAAATTAAATTCCATTTCTTAATGCATTTTTATTGGAGGGATAAACGTTCCTGAAAAAAGAAATAGTATTTTCTCAAAGGAAATATTTACATAAATTATAAATTCCATGCAACATTCTGACATAGTTTATAAATTTAAATCCATTTTTTACTGGATTTTATTAGCTCAACAATGTTTATTAACTTCAGAAACAATATATTTAAATTGAAATTTTACATTTTTTCTAATTGTTTATTTAAAGGAGCGATTAGTGTCCATAACATTTAAATTAGTATCACAACAATTTCTCCAACAACATATTTAAATACTAGAAAATAAATCATTTCTTTTCATACATTACCATCGATAACTTGTACTCGCCAAAGTACAGGGTAAAGTCCGAAAAAAACACGATCAAGATTTTTCGTTCTGCTGCTTTAAATATTGCGGAACATGGACAAAGTTTTTGGTCAAAGTTTTCGCTGCGTAGTTGCAGGCGACGAAAAACTTTGGTGCTTTTCCACAAATTTCTTAGTACATTAGGCCAAGAACTCTGCCTTTGGATGCCTTTTGGCCCCTTGGCTCTGGCAGACGACAGGCCAACAGGAGCAGCTTAATCACCTGGCGAGCAGCAGCAGGCAGTCAGAGGTAGTCCGAGTAGTCAGCTTTCCGGGCGGATATTAAGCCAGGTAACAGCTGAATGAATATTTCCGTACAGGAAGTACCTTTAAGATTTCTTCTATGAAAAGTCAAGTCGTTTGGCTATTCAATTCCACTTTCTAAGTGGATTTATAATTAAATATATAGCAGAGACTGTGACAGTTTTGCTGGTGTATAATCAATGAATGCCCCAAACGGGAAAAATGTACAAAACTCCAGCGTGGGTGAAGTTATTTTTCCCATTACTCCGCTGGAATGTAGGCAAAAAAGTTTTAAATATTTCGGGTGGATTCTAATCTACTTTTTGTGGTGGGTGGTGGTGAGGGGAGGGGAGACGGGGTCAGACCGCAAAGTGTGGTCTGCCAGCCGATGGGCTGGGCTGGGCTTAATTTAATGCATTGGTTGCTTGTTTTTCGGCAGCGAATGAGCCCCAGCAGCAGCAGCTGCTCATTTGCATATGGCATGGGTTGCCACTGTGGGTTTGTAAAGATAGTTATTTCCATGTTTATGCCTTTTGCAGGTCACGTTCGTATCGCGGTGATTCCAATTTTAATGCGCTGCTAACGCCACTCACCTTTCTGGTCACGTACTTCAATTCGGGCGTGAATCCCCTGCTCTACGCCTTCCTCAGTCGCAACTTTCGCAAGGGCATGAAGGAGCTGCTTCTGTGCTCGTGGAAGAAGGGCAAGGGCAAGTCCTCATCGAACTCGTCGATGCACCACAAGCGCAAGGCGCTGCAGGTAAGTGTTTTCCCCCCCAATTATCCCTATAAGAGGTTTCCGACACGCACTCTCCCCTACCCCTCAGACCCACTCTCTGCCCACGGACACCACGCACATTGGCAACGAGCAGCTATGATGGCCAAGCTGCTGGAAGACGCCACTGAAGCTCTTCGGCAGACGCTCGTAGAACTCCACAAACTCCACAAACTGCAAACTGCATCCGCAAACCATAGACCATACCAGGACCACCGCATCCACTGCTAGTCCGTTCAGTCCTTAGCTAGCTATAATTTCTGATTGTGATTATCCAACAAGCCTATTGAAAAGCGGTAACCCTAGCGTAGATCATAGCCATTAACGAGTTGTATTAACAAACGTAAGTAGGTAAGGCATTTTTTAAAGCTAAACCGAGTCGAACATCGGATTGTCTTCAGCTCTCTCGCTCTTTCTCAACTCTCAACTTGTCAAGTTTTTAGCATAAGTTCTTATTTTTAATGTCAATATAATGAATAAACTTACAAAATTAACATAAAATGGGGTATGCTTTAATTATTCAACATAAACAATTAAGGTTTTCCCTTTAGTTCTTCTGCAACAATCAATCAGATTGAAACTTCCTTTCCCTGGCACAATCAACTCTCACGCAAAACCGTGACACAAATTGCAAGTTGCAAGTTTTCGATTGGTTTTGCGTTTGAAATTTATATCTACATTTTCCTATTCACGAGTTTATCCCCCGACTTGCGATATCTGATGACAGTGGTTTTTATGGTCAGCCGAAGAACACGCTTCGTTGTGGCTGCCTAAAAAGAAACACCACAACGCAACAAATAAAAAGCGAAGTAAAGAATAGAAATGCATTAAAAATATATGTACGTAGATATTTCCAATTGTTGGTCGAATTTTGTGCTAAGCGCAGCATTCCGCACTCGTACTCTTGCTCGAGGCTGTCATAAGGATAACGCTGAACGCTGCAGTAAATTCACAAGGGTCCCCGGCCCCGAAACTCAATTACCAGGATTGTCTCTCTGACTGTTTGCTGAAAATTAAAAACCACAAAAATCCCAGCGAAAAATCTCTTGAATCTCGTTGTGGTTTGCTTTTGAAAAATCCTTTCTTTTACTTTTTTTTTTTGCTTACCATTTATCCTGGCTGTGCCTTTGTGATGCAAAGAGCAATCCATAAACTGTGTCAAGCAGCACAACAACAACCCCCCAAAAACGGGAGGCAGCTCCACTTTGAGTGAGTCATTGGCGAGTGGTAGAGAGATTGCTCATAATTAAAAGCGACTTGAGAGACGCTGCGGATTGACATAAATCATGGACGACCCGCCGTAGCACCCGGCGAAGATAAGGTTCCATGATTTATGCATTTCTCATGTGTTTTAGCATACCCATGCAGCGACGAAACAATAAATTCAAACAACAAATGGTGCACTGCGAAACGAAAGACCTTCAGCTATAGTTTGAAGTTTTATTTACACAGCTCTAACCATTTCCTATAGTCCCTCAGTGTCTTTCAGTCAAATGTGGTCTCTGCTCGTGATGGAAGCACTTCTGTCCTTCTGGATTCTACTTGGAATCCCTCTAACTTCCTGCTAATTATGCTGATTAAGCCAACCAGAAGCAGCATAAATAATACATTTAAAGTGGGCACAACTTACAGCTGAGATAAATTATGTTTAATAAAGATGGCTGTTTAATCCCTTACTTTTTACAGATAGTAAATTACTGAATTCCAATTAAGAGAACAATTTATTTAGCCAGGAAAAACCCTGGTGAAAATAAATACTGAATTCGTTGGAAGTGTTCCTGCGCAGAAATCCAACAGGTTTCATATTTTTGTTATTTCAGTTGTCAATTTTGTATGCCACCTTTTTGGAATTTGCATTTGCCGCATGCTAACTCTTTGGCCAATCAAAATGTGTAGGTAAGGGCCATAGAAACTACAGATGTTCACCAAAAAGCAGATCATTCTGCTTCGTTTTCAGGGCGCCTGGTAACAGGGCATGAAAATAGCTAGAAAAAGAAATGCAACCTTTTTTTTTGTATTTTATTGGTTTTTAGACATTTTTTCGAAAGGAATCTTTCTGCCAGGCAATCAGAAAAGTCAAAGGTAGAATTTCTTGAACCAATTGTGAATAATAATTGCCACAAGAAAAATAAAAACAACATCGAAAGAGTATTTCAGGCAAGGAAACTTTCCCATAAGTTCTTGAAAAACCCTGAATCTGTATGCAAACTTAAAATACAAATTTAAAATACCCCATTTCAGGGTATTTTAGATAAAAATGTTTAGAAAAATCAAAGAATATAAAAATACAAGTACCAGGCCAGCAGATATCAAGAGAAAGCCAACGAAATCTCAACCAGCCTGCTCGAGATTCAATTCTGGTCAAATTCTGACGAAAAATCGTTTGCCCAATTGGGAAAAGTGCTTAGGATGTGTGTGAGTGTGTGTATGTACCCCAGTGCGTATGAGTGTTTGCTAGCTTGTTTGTTTTAGTCTGAAAATTAAAGGGAACAAATTTTGAATGGGTGGTAGAGAGGCAGCAGCAGGCTTCGGTGGCAATGTGAGATGGTAATTGGGGTGTTTTCAGAGTGGCCAGCATTAGTTGGAAGCTGGACATAGGACTATGTCTTGGATACCCGAGTAAGTTTACCATGCCACAACACAGCAGATACCATAAAATGATGATGAAAAGGTACAAATGGACGAGCACTTTATAATTTGTTAGCTTTTTGCAGCTATACGTTCTTTGCTTTTCCAAAATGTACTTTTACAGCATGAAAACCAAAGGATACTAATTAGCCAGGCTTCGGTTCGCAGAGAAGCTGAACAGAAGCCAGGCAACTCTTTTCTGCCGTTATGCAAAGGACTTTTAATTAAAATGCCAGGGGGCTTAACTTATTAAAACAAAACTTGCTATTTGAATATGTCATTAGAATGGTGGTGGAGGAGCGCTGCAAAGCAGGGAATGCAGGGCCAATACTTCATAAACTGTCGGGGCAAGAGGAATGGGACAAAATGGAAATTAATTTTCAGCCATTGACACAAGCCTGAGGGGCAGCCGGTATTACAAATCATTCAACGGAAAAAATGGCGCCACTCAACGAAGTCAATTGCAATAAAGTCGCCAAGGACGAGAACAAATTGACAAGAGGAAGTGGCTGCGAGTGGGTGTGCACCCAATCACGAGCTGGACTGGACTGGATGTGAATGGATGTGGGCAAGCTGTCCCCTAAGCCGATTAGTTGTGTAAAAACAAACGTTTGAGCCGGTATATGCGGAAAAGCGTGTACAAATTTACCCAACGGCTTATGGCAATTAGTTACAAGAGTTGCGAAAAGCGCCTTTGCTTAGAATATTCTACATTTTCGTTCCATATGCCACACTTGTTGAGCAGAAAAGTAAGTATGTTGCGTTGCTGCAGCCTTACGATCCTGGCAAAGTAAGTAAAATTCAGATCTGGCCAAACGATCACGAGGAGGTGAGGCGTCTCTATTAGAGCATTAAACTGCATTAAATTAAATAAATGTCCCAATAAATAAATCAAAACCATGGATTACTCTTGGGATGTTTATTCAAAAATGATGGCATCCTTTTGATGTTTTTTTATTACAAAATTTATTCTATTAAAGGCGTATCCCGGCTCCCTCAAGGACCACAATATCCTTAATGGTTTTAAATGATTAAACTACTATACAAAATCTAATTTCTAACTAATCTAACTAATCAGTAAAAAAAGGGATCTTTTATTTCGTTTATATCTTGCCTGTTCTTTGATCGAGCTGAGTGAGTCGGACTTTTTGGCAATCATAATAGCTTCCCCGATGGCTTGCAATCAGTTTCACTTCAAGGACGTAAAAGATACAGGATATCATTTATTTATGTATCATTTTATTATCATAATCATTTGTATCCATCAAGGACGAAATAATACGCCAGCTATAGGCAATTTTGTAATATAAACGTCTTATTCGTCTTAATAGACCGCCCGGGAAGTATGCAATTTTCTTTTCACAAAGTTCAACCCAAAAGTACTCCGGTTTTTATAAAACAAATTTGATCGCATGTACCTTTCGACCTGAAAGTATGCCACACGTCCTGTGTGTAATACTTTCATTTAGCCTGAAAGTATGCTAGGATTTCACAATACATTCAACAGAATTATAACTTTATGTATATTTTTAATGTTGTCTCTTTTATTGCCAAACTGCCGTGCTGTCAACATCATAACTGATATAGATGTATACATATGAACTCTTACTTTCGTACTCTATGCCAGCCATTTTTGGAAGTTTGCGCTGCTGGCCAGCACTTGGGCCACTGCCAGGCACAATACGAAAAGCTAAGTGCCGAGCTTCCCAACAAGTGGCATGCTATTTGACAGAACAACTCGGAGTTGGACAACTGCCGACAGTAGTGGAAAACTTTGACTCCCTGGCTCACTTTCTGGGTGAGGGTGTGCGTTTGTGTGTGCTCTCAAAACTAATTTGAATGAAATATATGAAGTGTAATGCAAAAGACAAATGCAAACTTGAAGAAAACTTTTCAGTTTGCTCAGGGTCCTTGGCATAAATGTATTTTCGACATCAAAAATCAAGATGAATTCAGGCAAAGACTCCAGCTGTTGGATCAACTTGCTGCCGGTTTCTGTTGGCCTGGTTAGGCATTTTTTCTTTCAAATTTTGCCAATTTTTTATAGATTTTCAATGAAAAGTGAGAGCAGGACCTTTTGGGGTTTGGTTTACCCCTCTTAAGCCACACTGGGCCAACTCTATTGGTCACATTAGTCATTCGGCTATCTAGAGAGCAGCAAAAGTACCAGGCACACAGCATAAACTAAAGGATGTCCGATTGCAGGCACATTTCACTTGCATTCATACATAAATGCATGTGCACCCTCCCCTTGGCATTGCCGACCAGTTATCTGGTGTGCAACACCCGCTCGAGTTTTGTGCAGCAAAGTAAAAGCAAAAACATTTTGCATGACTACGAAAAATCTACAATTCGACTTATAAAGTGCTTAAGTTATTACGCTGAGCAGTCGTTGGCAGTCTCTGGCTCTCAGCCTGCTTAGCATTTCCGTTTCCGTTTGCCCAACGTCCCATCGTCCCATCGTCCCATCTCGACTCATCGCAATTCCCAAAACTGGACAATGTTTGCATTTTTCATGAGCCTGGCAAATGCATTTTAGATACTTCAACCAAATTCAACTTAAAGTTCTCCAAAGTGAGCACGGACTATGCCCTAGACATAAACAAACGAAAATCTCGGCTTTCCGAGACCCTTTTCGACCTTCTGTATCCTTCTAAACGGATAATTTGGGACAAAGGCTCTAAACAGAGCCAGGGCCAGAGCCGGTCCAGAGTTATTATTTTAGGCTGATAAAAATTGGATTTGATTTGGCAAATTTGTTGATTTTTAATTTGGCCCAAAAGGGTGACCTTTTTGCTTCTGTTGGTAAATTAGGAACTCATCGCAGTGACCCTGACCCCGACCCCGACCCCGAGAAGTCGAAAAGGGACTCTGTCTGTCGATAATGCGTAGGTTGTATTGGCTGGCCAGGCCACTCATCTCCTTGGCAAGCTTTAACTCTTTTTAAATCCTTTGGTCATTATGTAAAGTAAGCTCATTTAAAAAACAAAAGCTTATTGCCATGAAAATTACGCATACGCCGCATAAATCATTCACCGTAAGTCGGAACGAAAAGGCGGAATGGAGCGAGAGTCATGGACAGGGACAGGGACAGGGACAGGGGCAGATGCAGGGACTCTTCCATACAAATTGCGTGGCTGGCCGCATTAATTGTGTGGGCCATTTGCCATCATCATTCACGTGTTTAACTTGATTTTAATGCAATTAAAAAGCACAAGAAAAATGTTCATAGCGACAGTGTCCTTCTGCTGAAAGAGCAAGCCCACAGAATGTGATTTAAAATAGTTTCTGGTTGAGTTTTTACATAGTATGTTTTATGTTGACTTATTATTACAATATCTTTTGGTTGCTCCTCAGATTCTTATCGACTTATCGAAGCTTTAGTTGCGGGACTAAAGCACTAAGCTCTATAGACTCCTTTGATTGTTTTGGGATTGTTAGCATTATACTAAGAGAGAGAGCGAGTAGTTCTTAGTTCTTAGTATAAGCACTAGTTGGATCTCAAACTATAGTTAATATATTTACACTTGCCATTCTAAATGTTAATTCTACAAATGCATCTTTGGTCCAAACGGCTTACGTTTTGTTTTCTACTTTTTTGGAGGCTTCATCGTCATGGTGCCTTAATCCTTGTCCTCGTACTTATATTTCTAGTTGATTTATAGCTCTATTTACAGGTTGGTTGACTAATCCATGCGCTACAGATAGACAAAGTGGCCCAAGCCCTTGGCTGGATTGTTGTTGACAGCCTCCGCCGTCAGCTTGGAGGTGGCATTGCCATTGAGGTCCAGCACCTCCGACTCCACGACGGGCAGCAGTCGGCTATAGATGCCGGCTGGCCCGTAGCGCGCATTCATGTGAATGTCCAGCAGCTTCTTGTCCTTGCCCAGAGAGGAGAACGAGTGCGATGCTGTGCGTATCTCACGGATGTTGTACACCGGACTGTAAGCTCGAGCCGGAGACACCGAAGCGACTGCTGTGGATGCTGGCGTGGGCGAGGCCATGGATGTGGGACGGGGATAAAAGTCGCGACGCAGCGCGCATTCTGTGGAGTTGTCCGAGGAGCCGGAACTGCTGGCGCACTCATCGGCATCGTCCTCGGCGTCCTCGCTGCTGCTGCTGCAGCTGCGCAGATCCTCCGAAAGCGACAGCTCCGACTCGAGCGACAGCTCCAGCAGACTGGTCGCATCCTCCACAGCCGAGCCGGTGGCCAGAGCTGCCACTTCGTTCTCGAAGCTCTGGTTGATGGCCTCGTTCAGGTTGGCCAGCAGCTGGCGGCGCCGTGCATAGTTGGGCGTGCGACGCACCAAAAAGTGACAGTTCTCGCCCCGCTTCATGCGCTCCGCCTGCACGCGCAGCGGCATATCGTCCGGATGCAGCTTCCGCTGGCACTCCTGCCCGGGGCACACCTCGTACAGCGAGAACTGCTCGACGGGCTCCAGGGAGCTGTAGCAGCCGAGTAGCAGCTGCAGCAGCTCGTCGCAGTTTGTCTCCTCGCTGATCACGAGCGACTTGTACTGGGAGCTGGGCTGCAGTGCCGATGTGTGGACACGGATCAGTCCGCCGGCCTTCAGCTGCAGGCAGAAGCGGGACTCGCCTTTGGGATGGCAGGCCTGCATGATAGCCGGACGTGTGTCATCGTCCAGCACCAGAATGGTCTTCACACCCGCCCGACGCACGGCAACCTCCATCGAGAGATAGAACAAGCGCGGATCCCGATGGCGCATCTTGAGGCTGTGGGGAGGAAGAGTAAAGCAATTGGCAAGGGTTCTCTAGGGCTTCTTCTCTGTGTCCACAACTTACCGTCTCAGCAGCATGGCTATAACCTCCTTGCTGGTGGTGTCCCACTGTATGCCCAGCGTCTTGTACTCAATGTCAATCTTCAGGCAGTTGGTGTACACTTTGATGGTGGTCTAAGCGGAAGATATAAACCTTATGAGGATGCTCTAGGGAATCTCTCTTGTGATCTCTGCTATTTACCTGTGGCAGCTGCTCATTGAGGCTGGAATAGCTGGAGGCGCGCGATGGTGTGCGCTGCATATCTGTGGGTGGCTCTGGACTGCCGCACATGGAGCTGGCGCAGGAGGAGGCAATGCTCGAGGAACGCAGCGACACGGAATCGGAGCGATTGCGCAACGGTGAGATTTGTACGTGTTTTAGCATCTGCAAAGGGAGAGCATGGGTTAAAAATTGTTTCGATTATGGGAAGATTTTTCTCTACTGTGCGTAAATGAAGTTGCCTCATCCGTGGGTAAATATGTGGGCACATTTTCAAGCCTATAAACCACTTCCCTTCCACCTCTTTGATTGATGAATGCAGGCACTTCCAGCAGCAAGCCAGAGCTCATTGAGGCATGCAAATGGGAATGGATGGAGGGTCGTCGGATCTGAAGTGCCCTCCATCCGAAGCGGCACTCCAGAAGTGCAGGGGGTGATGCATTGAAATTAATAAAGGGCTCGTCGCTCCCCCTAGTCTGATGCTGATGCTGATGCTGAGGCATGCAACATCTCCTCGGGCAACTGTTCATCGCGCTGACAATGAGCCGTGACAAACGAAATGGGGCACTTAGCTGTGTGTTCCACCTACGAGTACAATCGCCCACCCTGCTGCCATTTGATTGAATGGAGTACACAGAGGGAAATGAAGACAAGGGCAAGTTCCCAGTATCCCTGTGGAGCCTCCATTTATTTCTCTCAGTGTCGTACACTCCTCTAAAGCTAATGCTGCTGCTGCTGCTGCTGCCCCTGAACCAGCGATGCATTCAGATTCGTTTTGGAGGCGTGCCGCATTGTAAAGCGATTGTCAGCGGAAGTTGTTGCAACATCCGGTTGTATCACCCCTTCCCTCTGTCTTCCCCGACCCAACTCTGTTGGTGGCAAATATTATTCAGCTTCTGCTTCTAATGTTTACATTCATTTTGCCAACCGCTGCAACATTTAATTAAAATGTTCAAACAGCTTGGCATAAAATGCAAAGAAAAATGATGGTGCGACTTTCACACGATTAATTAGAACCAAAGAGAGCGCACAGAGAGCTGGACCCCCCGCTGCTGAGTGTCTCTGCGCTTGGGGGCAAGGCTCCAGCTATGCCCAGAGACTGTGGCAAGTGAACCATAAACGAACCAGCATAAAATTTCAACAGGCAGTCGAGCAGCAATGCAAACGATACGACAACCGAAGCGTTGCGACTCGACGCGAATGACATCCACTGCAGCAGATTGTGAATTGTGACTATCTCTGGAAGTCCCTCCCCTACCCTACACTCCGTCCATAGAGAACAGCCAGGCGGAGGAGCCGCTTGAGTGCTGACGTCTGGTGGCTGCCGCAATTAGCGGCTAATGTTGCACGGCTTCACGCGATGATGAAGCTCTCGGGTCACTGCTAAATTGAACTCTCGAGCTGTCTCTCAGTCACTCATTTATGTAGCTTTTTTCTCTGCTTCGGACTGTGAACTTCAATAATATTTCCAGCGATCAAAAACAATTTGACAGATTGAAAAAGTTTCCACTGTCAGAAAGAAAAAATTATGCAGCCAAAAAGGAATCAAAGGGAACAACTTTTGTGGCAGTCCAAATGCAAATGCAAATCAAATTCAAGTCAAATAAAATTAAATAAAACATGGCAAGCCAAGGGAAGGAAGGAAGCTACAGGAAATCATGGAAATATTGTTACACATCAAATCGAATTAGAAAATTTCATAACATTTGGGCATAAAAGAAACCAAAAAGAAAACGAAAGAAGGAAACATTTTGGTAAAGAAAGAGGAAAAAGACTGGCAAAGAAAATGCTAATGAGATCAAGTTCTGACAGAGATTGAAGCGAAACTAAGTGCAGATTAGCCAAGGATTTATGGGTGGCAACTGTACCAAAACTGTCGATTGGTCAAGAGAGCAGCAGCCGCGCACCCATTGAGCTCTAATTGAGTTACTAAGAGAGTTAGATTTAACTAGATTCCATCCAAAAGTTTTCCAATTATTCCCCATCAATATCGAAAGGTCAAAAGTCATGTCTTCACTTTCCCTTTTCACTTTGCTGGAAGTGCTGCAAAAGTTGCATAAATTCCAGCAGCGACAAAACAAAAAACAAGCAACACTCACAGAGCAGTAACTAAGCCTGCCAGGGAGACAGAAAGCACTGGCAGGCAGGACAGGCAGGACAGGCAGTACAGATACAACTTACAAATGCTGGCAACAGGCAGCAAGAGGCAATAAAAAACCAGCACTGTCTTGGCCAGAGCCAGCAGGAGCAAAAGCATCACCAGAACGAGAGATATTTGGCGTACTGCTTCATGGAATGTTTTAATTTTGGGTTTTGTTGCGAATGGAGATGTGTGCCTTGCTTCTCGTGCTGCAAGGAGTGTTCTGCCACATGCACTGCAATCATTTTCCTGTCACAAATTCATTAAGAATCATTTTTGGCTACATTTATCTCCCATCTGGCACTCATTCTGTGGCCATATTTGTAATCTGTGTACCTATTTTCTGCCTCAGCTTACTCTCATCTCTCAAACCTCACGAACTCATCGCTAACCGCCGATCCCATCTCTAACCCACTGTCAGGCCCCTGTCTAAACTCTTGCACGCTTCGCTGAGATTTATCAGCTTGAAGAGTGATAAAAACTGCTGCCGTGACATTTGCCAGGGGGCACAACAAAGGCAGGGGGCGTGGCGCGGATGTCCCTGAACTTGTTGCTGGAAAACAGTACAAGGAGCAAACGCTAAAACAGCAAAGAATCCACGCAAAGCAGCAAGAAAAAGAGAGAGGAAGAGAGTAAACCCACACATTCCCTTATCATTTTCACACATATTCGAAAGGCAAAAGACCAAAAGGATTATTGATTGAATTACCCCGGCAACGGCAACGGCAAAAGAGAAAAGAAAAAAGAAAAAAAAGCCATCAAGAGCATGGAAAATACTTTCATGGTCAGCAGACTAGAAAAGGGATACCAAGCTAAGGAAAAGCAACAGCCACAAAGGGTTCCCATAGGGTATATTTTTGTGCTAGAACAAGGAAAAGATACTTTAACCCCTTCAGAGGAGGACTACTGGCAGTGTTGAAAGGCAGCCCCAGGAAGACACAGGCGTGTCTGATAAGATTTAGCTGTCATGTTGCGTTGACTTTAATAATCAAAGACACAGACTGAGAGCAGCCCAAGCAAATGACAACAACCTCAAAGCATTTTGCCAAATGTGGCCAGGGCACACCATCATTGCCAGTGTCAGTGGCAAAGTCAGTGGCAAACAGTGAAGAAGAAAAATTGTGTACAAAATGAAAAATCACAGACACAGACAGAAGACACACACATTCCTATACGCAGAAAGGTGAAAATGCAACTGGGCAGAAGCAGCAGACAAAGAAACAAAAGTCAGGCATCATTTGTATCCCCCCCAGAAAACAGACAGCAAAACCAAAATCCAAAACCAGAGCCCAACAACAGGCAAAGTAATTCATATTATGAGACTCGTATTTGTGGATTGGATTGGGCTTAGATTAGAATTGAGCTTGGCAAATGGATTATTATGACGAGTGTTAAGTAAACCCTTTCTTAAGTGCTAAAATAATGATACATAAATGTAGAATGTATTCAACTTTTGCAGCTCCTCACTGATGTATTTTACGCCTTAATCAATTAACATTCCAATCCGTTCATCAAGGCCCCAAGAATAGGTTTTATTTTAGTCTAAAATGTCACATCATGTTCATGTTGATTCCCATTCAAATTGTTCAATCTGATTTCCGTTTGCAATTTGATTGACATTCATAAACTGTTCGACAAAAAACAACCTTTTTGATAACGATATTCTGTAAGTATGCAAATATGAAAGCCGAATAAAAACAGAAATTAAATATTTGCACAGCCAATAAAAAACTGTGTGTTCGGACAATTGGTTTGGCTATGATATTCACACAAATAAATTTGAACAGCTTATGGCCGCGAAACGCACTGTATGTCCATAGCGGAGGAGGGAGTGGGGGGTATATGCATATGCATTTTTAATGAGAATGCCATATGGCAGGAAATCCGCTTACAAAGGGCCGGACCGGACTCGTTGATAATTTATAAATTTAATTTGCGTTTACCATTGAATTTCGTTTCCATTAAGGAACGTAGACTATGAAAATCATTTCGGGTAAAAAGTCAATTAATTTAACAGTTAGAGTGGGGAGTGGAATTGGGTGGTAAGTCGAATTTCTGGTCGTGATTGGATGCCACTTTTGGCAGTCACTGACTGCATTGTTCTACTGATTTTCCCCCCAATGACTAGCCAAGCGTATGGCCCCCGCCCACTGTCTGCGTTTTCCACTTTTCTGTTTTCCCCGCTGCGTATTCTTAGTTGAGTGATTTTTGATGTTTCGCTTAATTTATGCACAGCTTTTCTTATGGCATTTTGTTGCTATTCTCAGCATTGGGTTAATAGCTGCCGAGATGATGGCCAACACCGCTAAGTAAAACGAAGGGAGAGAGGAAATCGGAGAGTCTGCCATCTCCGGCCAATAAAGAGAGCATTGAAAAATCTCTCTTGCTTAAATTGAAGGTTCACTTTTGGCTCCATACTGTTATCCCGCTTGCTTGTAATCCATTTCCATTAGTGTTTCCAATTAGTTGCTGCAAAAAATACACGATCCCGATAACCAAATCATCAAGTGCCATTCACTCGAGTAAAACTAACACAAAAATGGAGCAAAACGAATGCATAAAAATGAAAGAGGAATATGCACAAAAAGTAGAAAAATAAACAACAAACAAATAGGGGAAATTCAGCTCTAGGAATATGCACAAAAAGTGGATAAATAAACAAAAAAGTAACCAAATAAATAGCCAACAAGTAAAAGCAAACAATTTTTTCCTTATGCTTTTGTGGAAAGCAGCACGAAAATGCAGTGTGGTGGGGAAAAAAGCGTCTCGCACTGGTAACTTTTAATGCCAAATGCTTAAGCGGGCTATTTATTTATTTATCTTTTGGCGACCCTGCAGGGCCCTGCCCTGCCCCCTCTCCATGCCGTTGTACCATGTTTATTGCCGCTTTTTTAAGCCGCTTAGTGGGGCAGTTTTTTATGCAATTAAAAAGTGTTGCATAGGTCGAGGCGCCGCGACAAGAGACCAAAGGCCAAATTAAATTGCAGTTAAAAGCGCATTTTACGGTGCAACTGGAGGAATGGAA